AAAAATGGAAAACTCTAGAAAATAGCACAATATCCCACATGCCTGTTTAACTGCGTTTTTTACAGATACTCCCAATCACTTTGCTAGTGCCATAGGAGGGCTGAGAGAAGGTGGAAACAGTGTGCAAGCAAAGACGCTAAACCAAGTCTCAGGCTGAGCCATGTGCGGAGGGAGGCGCAAGTGCACACACTCACTACATCATTCTCAAAGCCAAGAACCAGAAAATAAACAAAAGCAGCTTTACACAGACAACTTAGCTCTGGAGAGAAAACCTGTTCGTGTTTCACAAAACAAAGTAAGTTGACTTCCTACTCTTTATCAGACACAGTCATCCACAGCACATTCACCAGGCAACTGGGCCACTTGGAGGGAAATAAAGGAACACAGAAATTTCTTTTAATACACATATTAGTGTCTCAAAGGGCAGATAAAAAAGAGTCTGATACACAACTTCATTAGACAACAAAACAAAAGCAGCAGGCAGGCAGTAGCCTTCAGCCAAAAGGTCGAGAATCTGAGCCATGTGTTGACAAAGGTGCCTTACATAGGCTACCCTTATGTCCTGTAGGGCCCCACCTTCTAGGCCACATGTAAGCTGTAGTCCAAGGTTTAAAGAAAAACTGGGACTGTATTTGTTTAAGAGATATTCTGCTGTTACTAGCCTCACAATCAGTGACCACACCACCCTGTTCTTTTGACTTAGCTTCAAAATGACAAAACTGAATTTGTTCCATCAGAGAAGGGCACTCTCAGAAAAGCAGGAGCCAGTACCACTAATATGAATGTCAGAATTAGATTTCTGGATAAGAAAGGACGCTTACAGGTCTATGGTTATCATTTTCCTAACCAGAAGCGCAGGTACACACGGGTTGTAGAATTAGATGTGAAAGCTACTTTAAATGATGAACTCCATTCTCTCAACATTAGCTATCTGAATAGAGTTTAGAAATGCCAGCCAAGACAATGAATGCCTCACTGTCATTTTCATTATCGAAACTATCACACTGGCTAAGCCATTTCTCACCTGGGCTACTACAAAAACCTTCTAACTGGTCTTCATCTCCAGTCTCAGCCCTCAGCAAAACCTATGTTCCTAAATGGCAGCCAATCTCTCTGACCGCACAGAACTGTGACCACGACTCCTGTCTGAACTCCGCAGCAGTTCCCCAGGAAACAGGGTAAAACCTCAGCCCTGTGGCAGGGAATACAAAACCCCTTTGACCTGGTCGCTGTGGCTCCTCTGCCTCCCTGCTGACCTGAGTCCCTGCTGGACAGCACGCAGCCACTTCAGCCTTCCTCGCTGCTTTCCAATCCCACAGGGCTGCAGCCGGCCCTTCCTGGGGTTCAGCCACTGAGGCTAGCTCTGTTCCCCAGACTTGGAACTCACGTCTTTGCTTTTCTGGTTATTCACCCTTCAGTCTTCAGCATTATGTTCACTTCTTGGGAATTCATCTCCAATACTCCAGATTAGACACCCTAGCCCTGTGTCACCTGGCTCTCTGTAATGATACACTACAGGATTGTTTTTGATGGGTATCATGAGGGAAGGGACACCACCTGCTTATCACTGTATTTCTGATGACTCACAGTGCACAGCAATTCATATTAGCAGGCAAGCAAAACGATTTGTTTGGTCATGTTGTCACAAAAGTTGTTATAGGATTAGAGCAAACTAAAATTCCTCTGCATAGCAAAGGAAACAATTATCAGAGTGAGAAGACCTGCAGAATGGGAGAAAATATTCATCCAATAAAAGATTAGTATTCAGCACATATAGGGAATACAAAAGAAAAAGATGAATAATCCAATTAAAAATGGGCATATGACAGGAATAGACCTTTCTATGAAGAAGACATAAACTGGGCCAACAAGCATTTGAAAACATGCTCAACATTGCTAATCACCAGGTAAATGCAAATCAAAATCACAAGACATTATTTTACACCAATCAGAACGGTTGTTAACAAAAAGTCAAAAAATAAATGCTAGTCGGCTATGGTAGTGCACAAGTACAGTCCCTGCACTCAGGAGGCTGAGGCAGGAAGATTGCTGAAGCTTGAAGCCAGCTTGGGCTACAAAGTGCATTCAAGGCCAGCCTGAACTGCATAATAAAACTCTGCCTCAAGTTTTAAAAAAAAGGGAGGAGGAGAAGAAAAAAAAAAGGACAATAAATAAATAAATACTGAAGATCTAGAGAAAGAGAAACTCTTATTATTGGTAGAAATGTAAGTACTGTTTTTCATTTGGTTTGGTTTGGTTTGGTTTTTGCAGACAGGGTCTCACTACAGAGTTCAGGATGGCCTTGAGCTCCCTATGTAGCCAAAGCTGGACTCGAATTCAAGGTAACCCTCTCTTGCCTCAGCCTCCCCAGCACTGGAATTAGAGGCATGCGCTACCATGCCCAGCCAGAACATTATAGAGAACTGTATCAAGATGCCTTAAAAAAAATAGCAACAGAGGGGCTGAGGATTTAGCTCAACGACATAAGCGCCTACCTGTCAAGTGCAAGTTCATGAGTTCAACTCCCAGTAGGAGAAAAAAAAAAAAAAGCAAAACAACTAATCTACTGTGTAATCCAACAATCTCACTACTGCTTATGTAGCCAAAGGAAAGGAAAGTATGTCAGAGAAACCTACATTCTCATATTTATTACAGCACTCTTCACAAAAGCCTTAGAAATGAAAACAATCCAAAAATCCATCAACAGATGAATGAAGAAAACGTGAACCTTCATCTAATCCAGTTGAAATACATTTTTTATTAAAAAACTCACCAAATATGCACCAGATCACGCTGTTGAATAAACTTTAAAGTCAGGGTTTCAACCAGGTTCTTCACTGAACCTCACATGAAATCTGTTCCCACCCCCTGCTCCCTGGATCAACCCAGGGTCCCACGCACTCCACCACACAGCTATATCCCCATAATCCTCAAATGAAATGTCTCTATACCCTGTTGAACTTAAGGAGTGCTGACCTACATCCCCTACTCTTTCAAAATTTTGAGATGAGTTCTAAATTGCCCCGAACTTGATAGCCTCTCCCTCAACCTCCAGAATAACTGATATTACAAAATCATGCAGCCAACATGTTTAAGTTAATAAAAATCAGAAATAAGTGACACCCAATAAAATGAATAAATTTTCAACTGTTTAATGATCATGTCCTGTCTGCAAATCTAAATTCTCCAAGATTTGATTATTTTCTCCAGTATTAGGCACTAAACTCAAGAGTCTTTGCCCTGAATCACACTTATAGCCCCTTTTTGAAAAACAGTTAATTTTAAAATGTTGAGACAAGGTCTTGCTAAGTTGCTGAACTACTCAGGCTGTGTGTACTGGAGCTCACTATCGTTCTTCCTCAGCCACTTACCTTTTGGGAGCATTATAGGGTATGTGCCACCATGCCCTTTTAAGATTTGATTCTATATTAATAGACTCAAATTTTCAGTAATTATAAAACTCAAATTAAATGTGAGTTAAACATTGTAATTTACAAAGCACTATTCTTTCATTTGAGGAGATGTGTTTATTTCTGTTTATGTCTACTACCATCTATCAGAGCCACATTATCATGCTAATTATGGTTAAATAAAATGAATCCTTTAATCTTATTCTAAAATCCTTCAGGTTTAGGGGCTGGGGATTTAGCTCAGCGGCACAAGCGCCTGCCTTGCAAGCAGGCAGTCGTGAGTTCGATCCCTGGTACCGATAAAAACGAAAAAGACAAAAAAAAAAAAATTTCAGGTTTGTAATTCCTGACACAATTTTAAAAACCAAAAAGCTCTGAAAAGCAAAATTTGCTCTTCCTTAAATTTGACACAAGAATTAACATAGTGACTTCTCCTTATATGAGAACGTTTCTAGCTTCATCTCACTTTTTATGACAAAAGCAGTGGTTTTTAACTGGGGAAAACTTTGCCCCCCAAAGGAAATCTGGAAATGTCTAGGGACATTTTTGGTGGTCACATCAAGGAAAGTGATACTGACATCTATTGTGTAAAAAGTCAGGAATGCTACAAATATCCAATCATTTACCCAAGGAAAAATTACTGCAACTACAAATTATTTGGCCTAAAATGACAACAGTACTGAGATTGAGAAACCCAGGGCTTGACATATGTTTTGATGAAGACATCAGTATGCTGGTTACTAAGGCTGCCTCAGAGTCTTTTGAGGACACCACAGAATATATGATCAAAACATAGTATTACTACTCAAAACTCAGAAAAACTTAATTCTGAAGCACAGCTGGCCCCAGAAGTTGCAGATGAGACTGTGGCACCTATATTATGATTCATGAGATATTGTAGCTGTGATTTAGAGGAATGCTTTGTCCTCTAAAGGTTCCTGTACTAGGATTGATCCCCAGTTAACATACTAAAAGGTGGCTGGACCTGTAGGATGTGGAATCTTTAGGGAACATGCTTATAGACACCCTGAAAAACGATGGAGCTGGATCAGGGAATACGTTTGTTCTCAAGCAATGTAAGAGTGGTCTTAAGAGTGGCCCTTCACTCTGCTACCTCCTCACCCACACATGCGCACACGCATCCTTCCAACTCTCTGCCAGGTTGTGATGCTGCTATGATCTTGGTATGTGGATTTTCTTTCTTTCTTTTTGACAGAGTTTTGCCATGCAGTGCAGGCTGGCCTTGAAGTCATTCATGAAGGCCAGGATGGCCTCAAACTCATGGTGATCCTCCTGCCTCAGCCTCCCAAGAGCTAGGAGGTACATCACCAAGCTCAGCTATGCATGCACTTTCTAACCACGAGAATCATTAAATAAAGTACCCAGACCCGTATATTTTATAAAGCAACCAAGATTGGACTAAGACATCGCAAATCCCATTAATGTCCAGAAGCTGGGGACTCAGAGCATGCAGATGAGGACAGCATCAACTGTTTTCTTGGATCTATTTCACACAGTAAAAGATATCAACATGAGTAACATACAATAATAAGCCACATGAAGATTACTGAGACCATGAAAGTAATTTACCTTTCTCCGTGCCTGAGAATATGGAGATGATTTTATTCCTCGGCTTCTTCTCCTCTGGAACAGAGGGCAGAGGTTTCAAACTGTGATTGGCTGACAAAGGATCTTTGCCTCCAGTGCTAAAGATGGTACTGCTCATTCGCACGGGAGGGGCCGGGGGCTTGTCTTCCAGTTCTCCGTTATCAGACATGATTCAGAATTAGGAAATGGCCTGAAATAGAGACAAAAACACCAAAACATAGCATTAATAACAATAACAGCATGCACAAGCACAAAATAGCAGTAACTACGCACGCACGCACGCACGCGCACACACACACATACACAATTCCAAATTTAAAAATGTTATCCACTTAAGAGTGACACTGGAAAAATTTGGAAAACTCATTGAATGTGAGATGTAACAAATGTGATCTTTCTCACCAAGGGAAATTTCCTCTAACAAAGTTAGTACAGGGTCCAAGGTGGGAATGTGTAAAAAGCCAAGCAGAAAGCATGGTTATACTAACACATCAAAAGCAATTCGCATAATCACTGATTGTGAGGCTGTTCAAAGAAAAGGCAGGCAACAGGACGCAGCATGTCAAGAAAAGGAAAGTGCCTTCCAAAGAGAGAATATATCCTGAACCCAAATCTTATGGAGCGTCTCAAGTGAGTCCATCCCCAGGAGCAGATCACTGCCTGGCTCCGAACTCCATCAACCAGCACTCTCTGTCTGATGGCATGCACACCTCCTGTGACTGATGACAGCGTAGCCTCCCATAAACTTTCCTAAAAGAATGTGCTACTGATGTGGTATTCAGTCTCTCCAAAAACATTCTGATTAGCCCAGCGTCGTCTCTCCCAACAGTTGTCCCAACAGTCACACAGAGCATGATCAATCTGGGCACACAGTGAAATCCAGAGCTCAGCTGAGAACCAGAGTGTGCAATTCCCTGTCTGCAAATGAGGCGGCCTCTTTCCCAGTGGCTAATTAGTATAAACCCTGATTACATGTTTTTATAGAAATAGCTCGTCTTTTTTAAAAAAATGCATCGCCACACTTAAAAATCAGCAATAAAGGGTAACTTGCATATAACTTCTGATACGTTTGTTTCCCACTAAATATGGTTTTTACTGGTAACTGGTTTTGTTTTGTTGGAGACAGGGTCTTGCTCTGTAATTCAAGCTGGCCTTGAACTCACTATGTAGTCCAGGTTGGCCTCCAACTCATTGTAATCCTCCTGTCTCAGCCTTTCAAGTGCTGGAATTATAGGCATGTGCCACCACTCCTGGCTGGTAACTGGGTCTTAATCATAAGATTATTTAATATATTGAAGTAAACAAAAGTATATATAACATATATATGCATATATACACAATATATATGTGTACACTGAAAACAATGTTCTAACCTCATTTGGAGAAAATTTAATCTTTATTGTTCAATTTAGTTTAAAATAGTACTACTTGAAGGAAGATGTGATTTGAAAAGAACTAAGGGGTAAACAGATTATTACATCAAATTCTACTCCAAGTCTTAATAGCTTTCTTTTGTTGGACAGTTTGTCACAAGCACTACTGGTGCTAGTGTACTACTTGGGCATAGTGTATCTGCCAACATGACTATTTTTCAACCTGTAAAAAGAGGAAGAACGAGAGGAGGCAAACAAGGGAAAAAAACTGTACTAACAGAGGTAATCTGTAGCTAGAGAAGGACTTCAAAAGAAGTCAAAAAAAGCTGCATCTGCATGCCGGAGAGGAGCTGCCTAAGAAAACAAAGTAGGAGGGATCTATGGCAGACAGAGGCGGGACCCCAGAAGACTCTTCCAAACCAGCAGCTTGCATTATGGGGAGCTGGGTGTGTCTCTGGGAAGGAGGCAAACAGGACACATCTGGCCGCTCCTGAGTATAGCTGCTATCAGTGTGTGCACCACCAGTGGGGGCCAAGCTTCCTACTACAGATGCAAGAGCAGGGCTTGGTGGTGAAGAGCTGCAATGCCAGCACTTGGGAGGCTGAGGCAGGAGGATCGCTGAGTCCAAGGACAGCCTGGGGTACACAGTGAGAACTTCTCATGAAACAAAACAAAACAATACAACCAAACCCACAAAACAAAAAACAGATGGAAAAGAGAAAAAACTTGATAACAATATTGCAAGGATAAATGGATAAACCAAGACAAATATTTAGATCTTTTTCTTTTTTGTTTTTCAGCGCTAAGAATCAGAACTAGGGTCCCCTAAATAAGTGCTCTACCACAGAGCTGTGTCACCTCCAGCCCAGATGTTCAGGTCCTAAAGTGACCATATCACCAGGGCAGAAATCAAGCCAGGAAACAGCCACTTTATTCTTTTTTTTTTTTTAAATCCACCCCCACCGCTTTATTCTTAATCACTAACTATTAAAAAAAAGGCAGATAAAGTTAAAATGCTGAGTTTAGCTAATCATAAATGCTTGCCATCTATGTACATCAAGTTAAAAATCAGGATAACAAAATTTCAAAATACATCTACACACATTGCACAGAAGACACTGCACCAAAATACTGCATTAACAGTGGTAAATGTGGCTAATTAATGGCTTTTAATTTAATTGCTATCATAAGACTTGTGGCTTTAAAAAAAAAAAAAGTCAACCAGACACGGTGGCACACTCCTGCAATCCTAGCACTTAGGAGCCTGAGGCAGGATAGTTGCAAGTTCAAGACCAGAGTGGGCTACAAAGTGAGTTCAAGGCGAGCCTGAACTGCATAGCAAGACCCTGTCTCAAAAAGGCAAAAAGATTTAAAAATTTAAAAAATAAAAAACAACAGATATTCCTTATTTAATGATCTACCCAGTAAATGACTACTCAGACTTATGATCACTACTCGGATTTACAACCTATCATTTTTTGGGGGTACATTTCTGTGCATTTCATTTATAGAGAGCCTCAATGCTTTTTTTGTACAGTACTATTTTCGCTGATTGTGCTAGTATTGTAGTTTTATGTTGTTGTAAATTACAGTACTGCATGTAAAGGGTTATGTGAATAAAAGCAACATCACAAGTTGGGAGTTTCCTTTGACCATTTCTTTGCTCTCAATATCATAATGTATAAATCGTATACATTTCCTTATTTAGAGACCAATTCATTTAAAGACACAGTTGCGGGAGCAAAACTTTGGTTGTTAAATGAGAAATATCTACACTAAAATCATCTATGTATACATTTTAGGCTAAGTCACACTGCTGTGAAAAAGTAGTACTTATCTCATAAAGATTAAGACAAAACTAATTTTGTCATCAAGGTGCATAGACATGGGTCTGTCAGACCCACTTTTTTTTTTTTCCCCCTTCTTGAGACAGATTCTCTATGCAGCTCAGTCTGGCCTTAAGCTCACTTGGTAGCCCAGGCTGGTCTTGAACTCGAAACAACCTTCCTGCCTCAGCCTCCCAAGTGCTGGGATTACAGGAGTATACCACTACGCCCATTTATTAAGCTACACATTTATTTATTTTTATTTTTTGTACCAGGGATCCAACTCAGGACTATGCACTTGCCAGATAGGTATGTATGCCACTGAGCTATATCCCCAGCTTCAAGTTTATTAATTTTAACTTTATGAGTTTTATTATATTAAATGAGTACATAAGAGGGGAAAAAAATCACAAAAATAATGTATTGAGTTTTTTTACATTTATTGTTTATAAAAAAGTATCAAAAGTCAGACATGGTGATGCATGTTTGTAATCCCAGCACGTGGGAGGCGGAGGCAAGAGGATCACTGTAAGTTCAAAGCAGCTTGGGGTACACATCGAGACCCTATCTCAAAAACAAAAAAGAAAAATCATCAAAATTTTCAACGTCAACTGATTTTTGGTGTGCAAAGTCTAAACACTAGAACATCAGAAATAAAACCCTATATGAACTACAGTGAAAATACCAATAGTACCCTACTAAAAAAATCTTTATACTACTTGGATTATCACACCTAAAGCAGTCTGCACACACGGTAACAGCACATTCCATAAGCACGCATCGCTCACACTGACAGCACATGTCTTTTGCTTTCCTTGTCTTTCTGTAGTACACACTTCACATCTCAGTGGTCTTCCTGGTTTGTCAGGAGGTTCTTAGTATATTATACAGTGTGTAATTAGCCAGAACATAAAATATTAGTAGAAAAAGTTATTAAATTCTTAATATACACTGTACATTTAGAATAGACATTTTCATATTTGCTGTGAACTTTCAAAATCTAAAAGATAATACCAGAAATAAATTCCTATATGAACTACAATGAAAATACCAATAAAATTCTACCACAAAAATAACCTTTAAGTGTCACACCTAAGGCAGTCTTCACATGACAACCATGTGTTCCATGGGTATGTCTTGCTTACAGTGACAGCACGTATGTTTTGTTTTCCTGTCCTTTCTCAGAAGGCACAGTTGACATCTTTTTGTTTTCCTATTGTCACAGTAGGTCTTTGTGATGCTGCGTATGCCTGTTTACCTGTCAGCTCACCAGTGTATTTTTGTGTAGTTCCCGGGGCAGAAACATTGTTTTTCCTCTGCTGTAAATAATCTCTTATGAGCTCCAGCCTTAATCCTCTAAGATTTCTCCATGATACTTTGCACTTCTTGTTTTCTTTCTTTCTTTCGGCAGGGTTAGGTGTGTGTGTGTGTGTGTGTGTGTGTGTGTGTATACCAGAAATTGAACTCAGGACTTCACACTTGCCAGGCAGGTGCTGCGCTGCTGAGCTATATCCTGCTCCCCTATTTTCTTCGTAAACTATCAAACTTTTTATGCCACACATGCTTAGGACTGAGTGAAATACAACCACTGGCTAATGGTGTTTCAAGTGATATCATAGTGGCTGTATAATTCATCAACAACATCTACCCCAAAACTTGGCTTTGTATTTACAAGTTTCCATCTCAACCAGGTGTGGTGATGCACACGTGTATCCTCAGCACTTGGGAGGCTGAGGCAGGAGGATCACTGCACGTTCAAGACCAGCCTAGGTTACAAGGCCAGCCCGAACTGCATAGTGACCCTGTCTCAAAAAGACCCCCCGCCAAAGTTTCCATCTCAGGCCTCCATTTTGTTGAGGTTTCCCTAATCAAGACTGCTATTATGGTGAAATGTTGACAGCAGTTACCAGTTTTTTTTCTTTGTCATATACAAAGCCACTGTTCTATCTTTCTGAATACATTCTGTTTTGAAATTACTTTCATTTTGAATT